CCCTCCTGCCGCAGTCTCCCGAGCGTGGGGTCCCGGCTGAGGGCCCACTCTGGGGGGGTGGACGCGACTTGTCCCGCGGGGGGCTGCCGGAGTCGGTGTGCCTGTGATAGCCGCGTGTGCGAGCGAGCGAGGCCCCCAGCGGGCGGGCTGTGCCCCCGACACCTTCATAGAGAATCTGCTGCGCTCTCTCCCTTTGCGTTTGCTTTTACTTCGGGGCTCTGAGGCAGCGTCTCGCTGTGCAGCCCAGGCTGTCCGGACCCGCCGCGATCCTCTTGCCTCAGCCTCCCCGTGCTGGGATGACGGAGTGAACCGCCCCAGCGGGCTGGGGAATTCCGAGTCCTGTCCCTGGACCCTGTGCGCCCTGGCCGTCTCGTGGAGGTGTGCTGTGTGCACGCGCGGGCACCCCACGGAGACCCTCAGGGCTGTGCCCCTGACGCCGGCCCACTCTGAACCCCAGGGAGGCAGCGGGCTCCATTGTCAGCCCCTCCCACAGGGAGTCCTGCCTCAGCCTCCCATGACTTTGTTCCTGGTCTGTAACAAGTCGTCCGCAACTGTCAGGACAAGAGTTTTCTTCCTGTTTATTTGGATTTTTAAATTTCTTTCTCCCCCTCCCTCCTTTTCCTTTTTCCTTTTCTCTTTTTTCTTTTTCATTGGGTTTTTCGGAGACAGGGTCTCACTGTTAACCCGGGCTGGCCTCCATCTCACAGTGATCCATCTCAGCCTCCTGTGCACAGTAGGATGACAGGCAGCCCTCGATGGAGTCAGTCTGGCACAGTGACGCCTTCATCCCAGAAGGGATCAGGGCCGCTGGCCGCAGACGCACTTGAACTTGAGATTCTCCTGCCTCAGCCTCCCAGAGTGCTAGGGTCCCAGGCGGGCACCGCCTCGACGGCCTAATGCTTGCTTTTGTGTGGCGGTGTATGGTGCCCCAGCTGTGCCCAGAAAGCTTTTACACCGGGAGCTGACCGGCTTCAAATACCCCAGGTCCAGAACTGAGCCTTTGAGCCAAGTGCGGTGGTGCACGCTGCTGTCTCATCCTTGTCCTCAGGAGGCTGAAGCAGGAAGGTCACCCTGAATTTGAGGCCAGCCTGGACTCTGTGAAAGCCTAGAATACACGCATGTGCTATCCCATGCATACAAGTATCTGCGTGTTTTTTCTTCTCTGTTTTGGTTTTTTGAGCCAGGGTCTCACTGTGTCGCCCAGGCTGGCCTCAGCTTCGTGGCATTTCTCCTGCCTCAGCCTCCCAGGGCTGCGATTGTCGCGTGTGCCCCGTTTAGCCGAGTTTCCCTTCCGCTCCGGCCACGTGTCGGATGCTCAGACCCCAGGGGGCTTCCCAAGTGCAGCGCCTTCAGAGAGCCCGGCCCTTTCCGGGGAAAGAAAGCCTCGTTGTCTTATGCGAGTGGAGAACTAAAATCCCTCGGGGGAGGCGGCCTTGTCCAGAGCTTGCCGTCCTCCTGCCTCGGCAGCGGGGGGACGGGCCTGCACCCCACATCCACCTTCAAGTCTTTTGTTTGAAACCCGTCCTTCGCCCGCACAGTCCCTGGCCTTCTGATTTCTTTTTCTGATGCCCTGTCTCGAACCCAGCGCCCTGGCACACCCCACGTGCGTGCAGGCTCCAAGCCGGCCCCAGTCCTCGGTTTGTGTTGAGCACTGCAAACTCGTTTCGGAACTTGGAGTGCTGTCCCAGCGTTTGATTCCAAGCCGCTTTGAAAGTGGCCCCCGGCTCAGATCCACGGCCTCATTTTCCACCCCATGTCTTTCTTTCTGCGGTGTTTTCCCCGTTACGGCCTGGACATCTGCTTGGCTACACATGAATGGCCTGACCCGGGCCCTCGGCGGGGGGCCGCGCGGCGCTGCTTTCAGTGGCTGTGTCACGGACAGAGAAAACATATGGGACGCTTCGTCGCTGTCCTGTGCGCCCGGCCTGGCAGGGAGGGCTGCTGCGAGCTCTGCGGCCAGTTGGCGGAGTTGCGCACTGCTCAAGCAGGCTGCTTTAAGCCCCGGTGCGGTCTGAAGAGGATTTCCGGGTCCCGGCCCGTTTCCGATGTGGGTCCCTCTGCCCTTTCATTCATCTGAGCAGGGCATCTGGGCCCCCTCGGGAGGATCAACCTGAGTTTGCGAGACTCTGTCTCAAGAAACCGAGCCTGAAGTCTTGAGAGAGTGGCCGCCGTGAACCCACGGTTCCTGTGGCTGTGAGTCCGAGGCCCGGGCCTGACCCAGCTGTCCGCCTCCCCCGACTTGCTCCAGGGTTCCCGTTGGGCCTTGGTACCGCCCGCTGAGGTGACTGGGCTTCATTTGCTTTCCTTGTCATGGCTTCCTGCCCGCTTTGTGGCCCAGGCTGGCTCCGGCTCACAGGGGTTGTCCTGCCTCAGCCTCCCAGGCGTGTGGCCCTTGCCAGGTCTTTGTTGCGGCTGCTGTCCAGTAGGAGGGGAATCCCTGGCGTGGAACAAATCCTCACGGGTGACTGCAGCGAGCGCCCCAGACGGGCGGGAGGGCGCACAGGAACCCACTGGGTTGTTTCAGCGACTTCTCAGTTATTTCAGACGATAAAAACTAACCAAGCCGGGCCTGGTGCCGCAGGCCAAGAGTCTCCCCTCTCCAGAGGCTGAGGCAGGACAGTCTCTGCCTGGGCATTTGAGGCCAGCCTGGGCGTCTCTGAGGCAGGCAGAGCAGTAGCAGTGAACTCCCAGGGCCTGTTGCGGGTCCTGAGAGGCCTTGGTCTTGGTCCCACCCCCTATGCAGGGTGGGTAAACTGAGGTTCGGGGTTACCGAGAGAGCGGGCCAAGAGCTGGACCTTTAGCCGTGAGACTTACTGTTCCTTCGCTCCCTGGGGTCTCCTGGTGTTTTTTCTGGGTTTTTGAGACAGGGTCTCCCCACATAGTCCAGGCTGGTCTTGAACTCACTGTGTGGCCCAGGCTGGCCTCAAACTTGCGGCGTTCCTCCTGCCTCAGCCTCCTGAGTGTGGAGACGACAGGCGTGCATCACCCTGTCCTAGCTTTAGTTTCTTCTCAGGCAGCTCTGGAGGATCCTGTGAGCGGCTTCCTGCCTGCACCCCAGCCGGCTCACGCGCGTGTGTGGGTGTGAGTCCTTGTCTGCTCTGGGGCACGCGCACCAGCTGGCCTCTCACGGACGTGTCACTGCCCGTCACCAGGGGGGCGGTGAGCAGCCCTCCGGGCACCTGGCTGCGACCTGAAAATGAACACAGCCTTGTTTTTAAGTGAACCGTGAACCTGACAGTTTCAGCCTTACAAAGTAGCACAGCCGGGCACGGCATTACACGCTTGAGTCCCAGCACTCCTGAGGCTGAGGCAGGAGGATTGCCAAGCGGTCAAGGCCAGCCTGGACTGCAGACAGACAAACCAAGCACCACACTGGTGCTTGTGACCCAGAAGATCTGATCTGGGGGTAAACGGGAGCCTCTGCACAGGCGGGCTGCCGTTTTATGTCGCTTCGTTTATAAAATGCACTCTTCCCGAATTCACAGCCCAGAAGCGGGGAAGGGAGACGGAGACGATTCTTCTGAGAGTGCGTGTCTTTCTAAGTTTCACAACAGCCTTCGCGAAGCTCTGGCTGCGATTTTCCAAGCGGAAGCTTGTGCAGGAGAGGAGCGACGAAGACGCGCACTGGACCGGGCTCTGTCCCCAGCGGTCTCCGGCAGTGCAGAGCCGGTGCAGTGTCACTTTGTACGTTTCTGGCACCCATTTCTCATCTTGCCAGTGATGACTGTTGCTGGTGTTTGGAGAAAGGGTATCACTCTGTAGCGCAGGGTGGCCTTGAACTCACAGCGGTCCTCCTGCCTCAGCCTCCTTGGCCCTGGTAGGACAGTCCCGAGAGGGGCTTCCAAATCCGTTCTGCAAGTGAAGGGGGCACAGTCTGTCTGCGTGACATTGTCGGACGCGGTTACACCTCTGTAGCTTTGATTCCGCGTCTCACGGAATCGGCCTCTTTGACAAAATAATCCAGACAGTTTGTTTCCATGATGTTCTTTTCGGCTAAACGACAACAAAAGCTCAGATGATCTGCTTTGATTTAATAACCAGTTTCAATTTGGTCCCAGCTTCATTGAGTTAAGGCTTCCTGGAACCGCTACGATTTAATCAAGGGTCCCACTTCACCAGGAAGTCTTTCAAAAGAGCATTGTGCAATGCAGGGAGTTTGCCACTCACTTGTTCCTGACCCAGATTCCTTCTATGTTTGTTTTGTTGAGACAGGGTCTGGCCGCGCAGTCCAGGCTGGCCTGGAGCTCACAGCGATACTCCTTCCTCAGCCTCCTGAGTCCTGGAGCGACAGGCATGTGCCGCCTCACCGGGCTCCTGGTTGATCGTTTCTTTTTTTTTCTTTCCTTGGTACCGGGGATCGAACTCAGGTCCTTGGCGCTTGTGAGGCAGTCGCCAGAAGCACTGAGCTAAATCCCCGGCTTTGGTCGATCGTTTCTGGCCAGGATTCAAAGCCAAGCCCCTGTGCAAGAGCCCGGACCTCTCCACCACGCTGGGCCGGGTGTGGCCTGGTGACCTGGTGTGGTGGTGAAGGCCAGGCCGGGGCAGCAGGATGAACACAGGGCCGGCGGCTGTGGCTGTGGGATGCGGCCGCCGGCTTCACCTCCTTGCCCCTGACCCTCATTCATCGCCTTCTCTGCTCCCCCTGGCCCGGCTTTGCTTTGTCCCTGGATAAAATGCAGGCTGGAAAACTTTAACAGTATTTCAGTTGCAAATAGATGGAAATTGTGTATTCTGTTTAGTGCGGGGCAGAAAATCCTGCTATTTTTTTTCTTTAAATACAAGAAAACAGGCGTGTAATGCACCGTGGAGGCCGCCCGCGGGGGGCCTTTGTCCGGCTCTTAATTAAGGGGCTGGAAGAGCCGGGGAGGGAAGGGGCCATTGTTATCCCTGCGAGGAGCGCTCGTCCATTGGGGGCTGAAGGGCACTTTTGTCTGTGACCAGCGGAGGAGAAAGAAGCCAATTATCGGCCGCTCTGCCGGCGCAGCTGGGACGCGGCTCCCTGGGCCTGGAGCCCTCGCGGGTGGGGCGCTCACGCCTGTCTGCGCCTCCCCTGCTCGGTCCTCCGGACTCCTTCACTTGCTCGGGGCGGGGGCTCGAGCTGTGGGTTTGCCTTTGGGTTTGTTTGAGACAGGCTGACATTAAACTCACTGCACGTTCCCAGGTCTTCTCCGTTGCCTTGAGTGAAGCGTGGGTGTCTGTGTGTCTGTCTGTGTGTGTCTGTCTGTCCGGAGACAAGATACCACTGTGTAGTCCAGCCTGGCCTGGAACTCACAGGGATCCTTCTGCCTCAGCCTCCTGGATGCTGGGACTGCATAGCAAGACTGTGTCTCAAAGTAGTAACAGTAACGATAAAAATGCCATGTGTGTGTGCACCGTTGGCCGAGATGCTTATAATTACTGTGCCCTGCAAAGCTATGCCGATAAAAATACACATTTTAAAGGCCTCCGCTGTCCAGACCGGAACACCCCCTGCCACCCATCCACGGAGGTGACCCTCTGGGTGGGAGGGAGCACTCGTCTTAAGAATACTATTTCCTGGGGTCTCGTGAGGGTGCTCCAGTATTTTGTTTTATTATGCTTTGTTTTTTTGAGTCGGGGCCTCGCTCTGTGGCCCAGGCTGGCCTCACACCGACTTCGATCGTCCTGCCTCAGCCTCCCGAGTGCTGGGATCACAAAGGTGTGAGCCCCAGCCCCGACCCTGATGAACTATTCACGGCCCTGGGCTGCTTTAACTCCGTCCAGCCAGGACAGCCTGTCACGGGTTTGTCCACCGTGCTTGGAGCATTATGATTTATTTTCAGAATAGCAACTTATTCAAAATCAAAAGCAATCCAGCCCCACAGCGGCGTGCGTGGGCTGTTTTTAAGGAAGAAATGACGGAGACTCAAAGGCTCGGAGCCTGCTGGCCGCGTGGCTGTGCCCACCTGGGCGGTCGGGACAGCGCGAGGGCAGCAAAAAGCAGGGCTCCTATGTCCCGGTCACCGCACTTGAGATCACACCTGGCAGACACGTGGGAGACGCCCAGAGCTGCTGCAGACAGTGGCAAAGTGTGACACCGGGAACCCCGCTCTGAGGGGCATCGGCGGCCGTGCATCCTTTATATATTAATTTTTCAAGTTTGAGCACCGAATTTCCCGTCCGCCCTTGCAACTGATTAAAAAGATGAGGAAATACACAAAGTACACACTTCACGTTCTAGCAAGCCAAATGGAGCTGCCGCCCTTACAGGACGGACTTCCCGGATGCATGAGTGCCTTGGAACTTTCTCTTTTCCTTTTTTCCTTTTCCTTTTGAGACAGGGTCTCACTACGTAGCTCAGAGTGTTCTTGAATTCCAGGCAGCCCTCCTGCCTCAGCCTCCTGAGTGCTGGGGTGACAGCTGGCCAGCCTTTGACCACCTCGCTGTTCCTGGAGACCTGGGCCACTTCTCCCGCCTGACAGCCCTGTGGTGCGGATTCCTCGCTCTTGTGCTGGGCTTTGTCATAAAGTCGGCCTTTGGTTCCTAGTAGTGGGGGACTGCAGACTTTGAGTCCACAGAACCTGGCTTTACTTCAGCTGAGAAAGGCCATGGATGAGACAGACGGGAGCCAGCTGCCATAGCCCAGCACTCGGGAGGCTGAGGCAGGAGGATCACCGAGTTCAGGGACAGCCTGGACCGCACAGGGAGCCAATAAAAACAGAAAAGGGAGCAGCCACTGACACGGGGCGGTGGCCCTCGGTTGCGTGGGTCAGCACCCCAGGTGGGCCTCTGGATCTGGGCCCGGAACTGCATTTCCCCCCAGCCCCCGGGGTGTTGCCGAGCTCTGCCCAGAGCAAGTCAGTGTCAGGAAGGAAGCAGAGGGGCTGGGCTGGAGGGGACTTGGGAGCTGGGGTTCTGATCTTGATTCCTGGATTTCTTGCTTCAGGCCAGGCCCAGGTGTGGCCTTGAGAAGTGAGGCTGCAGGTTAGGGCTGTGTGGGCGGGACGGCTGTGGTCCCTGCCCCAAGGACGGCCACCCTGGGTCCAGGCCGGCTGTAACCCTGACCGCTGTGTTTGGCAGTCCACGGTCTGGGAGTTGCTATTTATAGGACAAAGCCTGTATTTTTTTTTTTACAGAGCCTGTATTTTTGAAATTTTGAGGAAGGAAAATTAGTCTTCCTGAAATCCATTTTTGCACCGTTCCTCCCAAGCTATTTTTGCCTTGAGCAGCTTGTGTGTACGGGGGAGCCTTGCCCTGACCCACTCTCCCCCAGAGTCAGTGCTGCTCTTTGGTTTGGGGGCACCCGGGGAGGGTTCCGCCCTTGACCCTGCTTGCTGTCTGGAGAAGCGGGGTGTTCTTTGTTCTCTGAGACAGGGCCTTGCTGTGTAGCCCAGGCTGGCCTGAGATTCTCCGCAGTCCTCCTGCCTCAGCCTCCTGAGTGCGCCCTGCCGTGTTAGCACACATAATACTGCAGCAGGCCGCGGTCTGCCCAGCCTTGGGTTAGGCCCTCTGTGTTCTGATGAAGCAGGTCTCGTGAGAGCAGGTTCTTTTCCGGTCTTTGGTCTGGTTCGGGTTGGTGTTCGAGATGGGATCTTGGTCATGGGGCCCAAAGTGCGCAGTGCGGTGCCCGAATGCAGAACCCAGGCCCCCGTGCGACGCAGCGGCCGGAGGAGTCTGGGTCTCTGCAGCTGGGTCTTTGTAGAACCAACGCCACTTCTGGTGCAGTTTTGGCCCCTTCTCCGATCCTGGCTGTGTGGAGGGCCGGTCGTCCCTCTGTCCCCCTGCAGGGAGGGGAGAGGATGTTTCATAACCCTGTTGTTTGGTTTTCGGTTTTGTTTTGTTTTTGGTACCAGGGATAGAACTCGGGACCTTGTGCTCTTGAGGCAGACAGCAGCACCACTGAGCAAAATCCCCGGCCCCTCATAAGCCTCTTATTTATTTGTTTTTATTTCGTCATTTTATTCTTTTGGACTTTCAGACGGGATCTCGCTCTGTAGGTCAGGCTGGCCTCGAACTGTGGCGACCCTCCTGCCTCAGCCTCCGGAGTGCTGGGGTGACAGCCATGGGCCAGAACATTTTTTAAGTAGCCTCAGGGACCCGGGCTTCCTCTCACCCCCTTCCTGCTGAATGTAGAGAGCTGCGCTGATGAAGTGGGAAGTCCGGGTGGGAGCTTCCTCCGCCAGGCCAGCCTGGCTGCGAAAGCAGCTGGGGTCTGACTCCCTGTGGTGGAGGAGTCGCAGGTCCGAGTCTATTTCATGGGCAGTGGTGCAGACTTGCAACCAAAACAAGGCTGTCCGGCGTGCTGGCCTGGGCCTGTCACCCCTGCGCTTGGGAGGCTGCCGCAGGAGGGTCGCCAGCCTGGGCTACAGAGGGCGACCCTGTCTCACTACGACAAACAAACCAACCACAAACTCAACCGCGCACCTGGGCCCCTCTCAGTCCTGTGCAGCGCAGCGGGCACGCGGGGGGCTGTGGTGGAGGCTGCCTGGGGTGCAGCCGGCCCAGGGGGGCCCAGGAGTGGACACCTCGGGGGCCGTGGAGGTGTAAAGGGTCCGTGTTCCCTCCAGATCACCCCTGCCTGCAGCGACCGAGGCGGTGGGGAGTTTCCTGAGGAAGAGGGTGAGGGTGTAACCAGGGCAAGACGGCCTTTTGGCTTTGGTGAGACAGTTGTGCATTTCACTCACGTTTTGCGCCAGGACTGACCCCAGGCCCCACCCCAGCCCAGCCTTTCGTGTGGAGTTCTGAGTAGGGCTCGAGAAGCCATTAAATTGCTGGGGTTGGGCTCAGAACTCAGGATCCTCCTGCCTCAGCCTCCAGGGGCTGGGATCGCAGGCCCGCCCCACCCACTGCCCCAGGGGCCCGAACTGGAAAGTGGGGAAAGGCCCAGAGCTGGAGTGGCCAGGGTGGGTGGAGATAATTCCCAAGCCCCTTCTCCAGGTTCTAGGTTTAGCTCAGCCTGTGCTGCCCTGGCTTCTGCCCGTGGTCACCCTGAGGATTTGGGAGCCTTCTCATCCCCAAAATTGCCTGTCAGTAACTTTATTCTGTGTGTGTGTGTGCATGTGTGTGTGTGTGTGTGTGTGTGTGTGTGTGTGTGTGTGTGTTCAGGCTGGCCTCAGACTAGCGGGATCCTCCTGCCTCAGCCTCCCTAGTGCTGAGATAAGGGCGTGTGCCTTCCTCCTTTTTTCCCCAGCATCTTTTCTGCCCTGGGGACTGCAGCCTGGCCGTGAGGTGCGGATGACGGGTCTGGGCCACATCCGAGGTGTTTTGCCTTACGTACTGTCAGCCTCGCGATTTTACCTGAGGTCCCCCCACAGCGCCCTTGGCTGCTGCCTTGTAGGTTCCCCAGTTCACCCTGAGTGTGTGGGGCCCCCTCTGAGGGGCAGGCTTCAAGCTGGGTGTTCAGGAGAACCTGCAGCCGGGAGCCAGGGCTGTGGGGTGCCAGGCTCCCCCCTCCCCAATCCTCCGACCTGTGCCTCACAGAAGCCCGCCAGTCACACCCTGCCCCTCCGCAGGAGCAGTGCCCACCTCCGGCCCAGCGGAGCGCCTTCTTGGGCTGACCTCTGTCAATGAGGGAACAGCCAGTGCCCGGGGTGCACAGACGGGGGCAGAGGGCGCCCGGTTTCGTGCAGCACTGGATTCCCGCTGTGTTCTTCTGATGGCTGCCTTTCTGGGGATGGGGTTGAGGGAGGCTGAGGCAGGGGGATCTGAAAGCAAAGCCAGGCGTGAAGGCGCCGACGCCAGGCCAGCTGAGGGTGCCCCGCCTTGTGTCTTGCAGGGACATCAGCATGAACAACCTCACGCAGCTGCCGGAGGACGCGTTTAAGGACGCCCCGTTCCTGGAGGAGCTGTGAGTGGGCTCTGGAGCTGGTGTTTCCAGGGCAGTGCCACTGCGGCTTAGGCTGGGAGCCACAGCTAAGCAGGCTTCGGTTCCGCCAGCCCCAGTGTGCATGCGGGCCGGGGCGGGCAGGGACAGGCGGCAGGGCCGGAGGGCGCACCACACCCGGCCGTCCACCTGGCTCCCTCACTGCACCCGCAGAGCCCAACAGTTTGCACGGTGGAAAATTTCCTCCACTTGTCCCGTTCCCACAGGGTCTCCAGGTCAAAATGCTTGTGGTTTACGAAGGAATTGGAGCAGGAGTGTTCTGTTTGGGGATCCTGTCCCCCAAAAAAACAAAACACGAGGTTGGAGTTAAGATGACAGAGGCCCTGCACCTCAAAGTGAGGTGGCGCAGCCTGTAATCCCACCCTCGGGAGGCTGAGGCAGGAGGGTCCTTGCAAGTTCGAGGCCAGCATGGACTGCACAGTGAGACCCCGGTCTCGAAGGAAAGAAGAGGCGTCCCAGCTCCGCTCTGGGGGCACCGAGAGCAACGCCTGGCGTAGGGTGCCGGGAGTCGGCGGGCTCTGCCGGCTGTGAGGAACGGAAGTCGCCGGTGCCAGTGGAGCGGCTGGGTGCTGGGGCGGGGCCCCTGGAGGAGACCCCGGGGGAGGAGGCGCGTGGGGACTCACTGAGAGGAGGGACCAGGGCCCCGGAAAAGTGCAGGCTGCACCGCCGAGTTCCGCTCACGCAGAAGGGCTGACGACACCGACAACTCGGACGGCGGCACAGAGATCCGCTCCCCGCTCCGGGGCTCTGCAGTCACGGCACCGCCATCCGTGCCCACCCGTGTTATGGCAGCACAGCGCACGGGAGCCGAATGCGGCAAGGCAGCAGAGGGCTGGTTAAACATGCTGGCTTTGCTGTCTGGAGTACTACACGGCCGGAAAGAAGGCTGCGCTGGAGCCCCTGTAGGAAAATGGAGGCACCCGCGTTCATGACATTACGGGAAACGAATCAAACGCACGAACTCAAATGTCACATCGTTTCTCTTATATGAGGACCCAAAATTACACATAAAGAGTAAACTAAAAGGTAGACCGCAGGAAGTAGGGTGACCTAGAAGCCGGAAGGGGACCCAGAGATGGAGGGTGGAGAGGGGCGAATAAGGGCGTCTGTGCCTGGGACGCACAGACCAGACGCGAGGCTGCTGCGATGTAAACTGAGTTTCACCTGTGCAGACAGCAGCCGTGAGTAGCTCGGCTGAGGTCAGCGGTGTGGTGGGGGAATGGAAGAAGAGCAGTCTTGGGCAGCATGGCAGACCCTGCGGGCACCGTCCTGCCTCAGCCTGCACTGCGCAGTGCTCCCAGAGGCCCCCGAGGGACCCAGCTGCAGTGGGGGGCTGGCTCTGTCAGGCAGCCTGGTGATTTCTGGGCTGCCTCGCCTGTGCCCCTCCCCAGCGCCCGCTGCTGTGTCCATACTGGGCAAGCGAGACACTCCATTCAGTGTCTACGGACTAGCTGTGCCCTTGAATTCATGGCGATCCTCCTGCCTCAGCCTCACCAGGGCTGGGATGACAGGTGTGTGCCGGCACGCCCACTTGGAAATGGTTTGTTTGTTTTGGTTTCTTTGGGTTTTTTTCTTTTTCTTTTTTTGGTACTGGGGATCGAACTCAGGACCTTGAACTTACAAGGCAGGCAGCAGCACCACCGAGCTACATCCCTGGCCGCAGAAAATGGTCTTTTGAAACAGGATCTCACTGTGTAGCCCAGGTTGGCTTTGAACTCACGGCAATCATCCTGCTTCAGCCTCTTGAGTGCAAAGTTCAGGGAATCTTACTGTTTATTGACTTACTGATTTTGGAAGTGAGGATGGAGCCCAGAGCCTTCAGACATCCCCATTCCTGCTCAGTTTTCATTTGACACAGGGCCTCACTAAGTCACTCGGTGGTCCAGGCTGGGTTTACGCTTTGGATCCTCCTGCCTCAGCCTCCCAGAGTGCTGGGATTACAGGCAGGCACACCCGCCTTAGGGAAGGAATTTAGAGAAAGACTTTGTAACTCTGTGGTCCTAGTGCAGGAAGGGAGAGAGCAGTTTTTAAAAACTAGCTACAGACTCAAGGTTGGAAGACCTCTGGGGAAACCGAGGCACGAAAGCCCTGGATTTGGCCCAGGGCCCGGTTCCAAGGGACTTCTGGGCGCCCCACTTCTGCTTCCCCTCGTGTCTCTGTTTGTCTGTTCTCCCGTTTCTCTGCCTGGGGAGTCGGGAGCAGTGTGCGACGTGCCAGGACCCCTCGGGGTTTCGCATCCTTCCCTTCCCGTCTCTCACACCTAAGTCTGCCCCTTCAGAATGTCCCTAGGAAGGTGCTTCCTCTGTACACGCAGAGAGGGCCGGCGTGGGGGTGCACACGTCATCCCAGCCCTCGGGAGGCTGAGGCGGGAGGATCGCTGCGAGTTCAAGACCAGCCTGGGCTCCACAGCGAGTCCCTGTCCCCAAAACAAGCCCAACATGTAGAGGGGCCTCCGGTCGCAGTTCTGCCCCCAGGGACTCTGTGTTTGTGCGGGGGGATGCACGCACGGTCCTGGCTCTGTGGAGGTGGCAGGCGACTGGCTAAGGTCCCTGAGGGCACAACACAGCTAGGCCAGCAGATGCCCCTCCCTCCCCCTTCCATGAGGCGCTGCGGAAAGTCTGTGTCTCCCATGACCGACCGACCTGCGAGGGGGCCGCGGGACGGGGCGCCAAGTGCTTGATCTGAGGTGTGTTTTCCTCTCGCCCCTCTTCCCCCCAGACAACTGGCTGGCAACGACATCTCTTTTATCCACCCGAGGGCCTTGTCCGGGCTGAAAGAGCTCAAGGTCCTGTAAGTAGGAGCAGTCTCCCGGCCTTCGCTGGCCAAGATCCCTCTGCACTCGGGGCTGGGGGTGGGTGAGCCCGGGGCGGGAGGCAGAGGCTGACGCTCAAGGGGGCCTGGGGCAGAGCCCGGCTTTTATGGCCAGGAGGAGTCGGGAGAGGAATTCCAGGCGTTCTGGGAGGAGCAGGTGACCGGGCAAGGTCACAAGGTCGTGGCTGCAGCTCCAGTCCGCAGGTGTTTTGTCAACAGGAAGGCGGAGGCCTGGGCTTGGTGCAGGCCCAGCTGCTATCCTGCAAGACCGGCCTGGCCCGGTGTGAGGACGGCTGTCCCACCTGGTCCGGCCCCAAGCCACAGCTGCCATCCCCGGGAGATGGGCTCCTCACATGGCCAGGTCACTGGCCCCCGCTGCCCCCCACCCCACCCTGTGAATGGGGCAGACTGCTTCCAGTGAACCCCAGCATCGTGAAGGGGAGCTGGTCCTCAGGGCACCGCTGCCATCCCAGCACTCAGGAGGCTGAGGCAGGAGGATCTCCGTGAGTTTGGAGCCAGCCTGGGCTACACTGAGTTCAGGGCCAGCCTCAAACACACTGAGAGGCCCTGTCACAAAAGGGCACAACAGATACCAAAAGCAGTGAAGGCCCAGAAGTGCCTCGATCAGCAGGCCGCGAGGAGGCAGCCTGGGCCACAGCTGACATTTCCTCGGCTTTCGCAGCCCAAGCAGCGGGCTCCTTTGCAGCAGGTGTCTTGGGTGCTTGTCCCTGCTGCCCCACTTTTCTTTTTGCCATCAGAAATACTTTTGGGAAAACAAAGGGCTGCAAAATCTTCTGAGAGAAAACCGCCACGCTTGCTTGTTGCTCACCCAGCAAATGTTGCCTTGCAGCGCCCTGCAGAACAACCAGCTGAGGACCGTGCCCAGTGAGGCCATCCGGGGCCTGAGCGCCCTGCAGTCGCTGTGAGTATCTTGGGCGCTGCGGGGAGGGAGAGGCCAGGCTGGGAGGGAGCTGCCCATGGGATGCTGGGGTTAGCCAACTCTCTCTCTCTCAGTTTGAGACAGGGTCTCTCTGTGTAGCCCAGGCTGGCCTGGAACTCACAGTGATCCTCCTGCCTCAGCCTCCTGAGTGCCACAGTGACAAGCGTGTACCCCTAGGCCGGGTCCCTCATGTTTTCTTTTCCGAAGAAGGTTTGGCTGTCTGTGGCATTCACAGGCTTTAGCTCTCGGCCTTTAGCTGTGCAGCCACTGGTTTTGAAAGCTTCCCCGGGGCTGCGCTCTTTCCTGATTCTTCCTGTACGGAGCGCTGGCTCCCGCTCAGGCCCTGCGAGCCTCCTCATGGGCGCTGGGTGCCCAGCCCAGGACGATGGCCTTGGCCCTGACCGCCCTCCCAGCCGGTGGCGGAAGGGAGGGAGCGGCTTCCAAACCGGACAGACCTGTTTCACCGCTCAATTATGCTGGAGTTCTGAGAAATTCCAGTCATTAAATAGGAAGTGGATGTGAAAATTAAAATCTGTTCTAGTAAAATATGTATTGTAAAAGTTAAACTTTAAATTGCGGCTGTCATAAACAAGGTGCAGCCAGGATCTCAGCCCCCGAATTTCTGGTCCAACTAGAAGTTTAGGATAGAAGCTAGGGGCAGGGCACTCTGGGAGGCTGGGGCAGGACAAGTGCTAGTTCAAGCCCAGCCTGTGCAACGTAGCAACAAGACCCTGCCTCAGAATTAAAATATTTTTGAAAAGAACTGGGGAGGTAGCTCCAAGGGAGCATGCTGGGTGGTTTTAATATAAGGTCTCCCAGAAAAACAAAGTTTCAGAAAAAGAAAGAGCTCGCTTTCCTGGAATATGAGGTGTTGATCTCTTTCCTGAGATATGTGTATAAGTGCACTGTTTCCCTTATTGGTAAGTTAGGAGAAGAGAGAAAGAGAGACCTTTTGGTCACACAGTGTCTATTTTTCCGTTTATTTTTGTATTTTGGAGACTATGAAATCCAGACCTTGAGCTCACTATGTGTCCAGGCACCACCCTCCTGCCTCAGCCTCCTGAGTGCTGGGATGACAGGCGTGCACCTCTGTGCCCGGCCTGATAACAGACTTTCAACAGTAATTACCAGCACGTGGTATTATTTTGCTGTTACAATTTTATGTAAGACAAGAAATTCCAGTAGTGTGCGTCTCAGATGTAAGAACAGGAACGGAAGCGCGGTCTCAAGATGAAAGAGGAAGTGCAGTTACCGCAGTGCCAGCCTCTTCATGGTAACACTGCACCTGAAAATCACAGTCGTTCTGCCTGTCTCTCAGCACTGGGGAGGCTGAAGCGGGAGGGTTGCTGAGCATTTCAGGCCCGCCTGGGCTTCCTGTCCCGAGAGACAGAAGTGGCCGTTGTCCTCCCTGTGTGGGGCCTGGGAGCCCTCTCCTCGCCTGCTGCCCAGGGTGGGGGTGACGGCGCCCCCCGGTGGGGCCGCCCCAGGCTCCTGGTCACCGCTGGAGCATCTGTCGGGTGTGGTAGCCACTGGACTCGGCTTCCTCCTGGGCTCAGCTGGGGCTGGGCTGTCCAACCCGGTCAGATCCGACCCAGGCCCCGTGTAGCTCAGCTCCGAAGCCTACAGACCCTGCCCTGGGTCTGGAAGGTGCTTCCTTCGTCCCCTCCCCAGGACGCCCCCCCCGCATGGACGGTGGGGACGCAGAATTCCCAAGAAGTGCAGATATAGTGAACAAAGATTGTACGTGATTTAGGGTACAAACATGTAGACAGCTTTCCCTCTAATAACATTGTTTTACTTTTTGAGAAAGGGTCTCGCCATGTAGCCCAGGCTGGCGGGGACCTCGCGGTGATCCTCCCGCCTCAGCCTCCGTGGTGCTGGGTGGCGGATTGCACCGCCGCACTAGGCGGTGACGGCCCGTTTAGTGCCGGCCCCTAACGCTGGCGCGTGGCCTGTCCCAGGAGTTCACTGGGGACGTTGCCGGAGCTCTGCCTGTGGTTACACAGACGAGATGGCCGCTTTTGGAGGTAGATTCCAGACGCCTCGAGGACACAAGTCTAGGAACGTCAGGCCAGCAAAGGCTGCGGGTTCAAGGCCAGCCTGGACTACATAGTGAGAGGCTGTCTTAAAAACCCAAGCAAAATAAAAAATAATAAGGCTAGGCAGACTGCTGCGGCAGCTCAGTTAGCCAAGCTCCCTCTTTAGCCTTACTGCGGTTATCAAGGGGCCATCAGAAAGGGCCTCGTTCAGACCAGGGGACAGGGACCATTAACTGCTGCTAATTGCTCGGGAGGGGCTTTGTGGTAGGGGTAGGAGCCCGCAGCTTGGCTGCAGGGAAACAGGCTGAGGCAGGATAAGAATCAGGTGCTGAAAGGGCTCCTGTCAGTGTCTCGGCCCTCAGTCAGACAACCCTGTGTGGTGGCCCTGAACAGGAGTGGTGACGTCACACTGGGCTGCACAGGGCCGGCCGTGAGCCTGGGCCGTTCCAGCGCCGACACCGGGGTGCACTCCGACTCCCGGGGTTCATCAGCTGCAGGCCCCTCCACAGGGTGCCCCTCAGTGCTGCTGCCGTTCTAGGGATGGGGGCTGGCTGTGGAGTCCGGGCTGGCCCCGAGCTCTGGCCACCCTCCTGCCTCGGCCTCCTGGTCCTCCTGCCTCCTCGGTTCGAGGCCCGGGCTGTCCTGAGCAAAGTCTCCCCCGCAGGCGCCTGGATGCCAACCACATCGCGGCGGTGCCTGACGGCAGCTTCGAGGGCCTGGCGCAGCTGCGGCACCTGTGGCTGGATGACAACAGCCTGGCGGAGGTGCCCGTGCAGCCGCTCAGCAGTCTGCCCACCTTGCAGGCGCTCACCCTGGCGCTGAACAAGATCGTGGACGTCCCCGACTTTGCCTTCACCAACCTGACCAGCCTAGTCGTGCTGTAAGCGCCACCCTGTCGTGTCACCCTACTGGGGTTTCTGAGACAGGGTCCCGCTGGGCAGCCCAGGCTGGCCTCAAACTCATGAAGACCCTCCTGCCTCAGCCTCCCGGGTGCTGGGATCATAGGTGTGCGGCACTGTACCCGCTGTCTTCAGAGTTTTGTTTCCTATAAATTCCGAGTGAATCAACTGTTGTGAGGAGCCGAGAGACTGTTAAATGATCTCCAGCTGGGCGAGGTGGTGCCTGCCTGTCATCCCAGCACTCAGGACGCTGAGGCAGGAGGGCTGTAGTAAGCTTGACCCTGTCTCAAAAAACAAACCAAAGGGGCCAGGGATTTAGCTCAGTGGCATCACACCTGCCTCAAAAGTACAAGGTCCTGAGTTTGAACCCTAGTAGCAAAAAAGCCACAGGTGGGCGTGTGGGCCCTGCCCCTCAGCGACCCTCACACGTGGTAAAGGTTGCTGTGAGGGGTGAAGGCCGCTTTGCCGCCCTCTTTCCCGCAGGCATCTGCACAACAACAAGATCAGAAGCCTGAGCCCGCACTGTTTCCACGGCCTAGACAACCTGGAGACCTTGTGAGTATTGTGCAGTCTGCATCCTGGGCCCTGGGCCGTGACCCTCCCTCAGGAGCGAAGCGGGACTTCCCGGGCACTGCTCCCCTCCCCACATACCGGTCACAGGGCGGGCGGCTGGCGCAGGTGCGCACCTTCGGAGACACTTGCTGTGTTGGGCGCTTCTCCTGCCTCGGCCCACTGGACCTCTGAGGCCCGGGCTGCCCGAGCGTGCTGTCCTCCGAAGAGGAGCTCTGGGCGGTCCTGTTGTGGAGATGGCCTCGCTGTGTGGTCCCAGCTGGCACTGATCTCACGGTGACCCTCCTGCCTCAGCCTCCTGAGTGCTGGGGTGACAGCATGGGGCCTTCTGGATGCCTTGTGTGTTTGAATGAGCTCAGTTGCCTGAAGGCCACCTGTGCTGTCACCCGCCAACGGAGGAGCTTCACATCTGGATTGATGGATTGATTGGTACCGGGGATCACACTCGGATGCTTGCATTTGCAGGGCTGGCAGCCGAAGCACTGAGCTACCTCCCAGCCAGCCTCGCAGTTTCTATTTTGTTTGCGCCCTAAGTGTTCAGACCCTGGCTGCTGCCAGCAGAAAGGGAGCCCGTGTTTATCTTCCTTGCTGCTTTGCATCTGATCATTCGGAGATACATAGTATTTCCCATGGAAGAGCCCTGAAAGCTCGCAGGGCTGCAGGGCAGGCCTGTTCCCGCGCCACAGTGGAATCTCTTCTCCCCAGTTCAACTCGTATTTGCTGCTTCTTCTTCTGCGGAGAAAAGGAGAACAAAATAGCTGTCAGAGGATCCAGGCTCACCTCTCACCTCTCCCCTGTCTTTCCAGGGACTTGAATTATAATAGCTTGGAAGAGTTTCCTGAGGCCATTAAAGCCCTTCCTAGTCTCAAAGAGCTGTGAGTACTGCTTCATCCTCTGGCCTTTCTTCCCTGCGGCTCCCCTGGTGTCGCAGGCAGACACTGTTCCTAGACAGAGATTCCCTGTCGCCCCAGCGCCCAGGAGGCTGAGGCAGGAGTAGTGCCCGGAGATCGAGGCCAGCCTGGGCTGTGGAAGAGGCTCACGGCGAGGGTGGCCCTGCTGTGGCTGACCCTGGCTGGCTGACGCGCGTGGCCCAGAGACAGGGCAGCCTGAGAAGGGCAGAGGAGCCGGGCCTCCCGCAGAACTGCCCGCCTCACGCCCTCCCTTATCTCCCCAGCGGTTTCCACGGCAACACGATCTCTGTGATCCCCGATGGCGCGTTCAGTGGGAACCCGCTTTTGCGGACCATGTGAGTCCCAGCGGTGCGGGCGGGCG